GTGCGTGCGTGCGTGCGTGCGTGCGTGCGTGCGTGCGTGCGTGCGTGCGTGCGTGCGTGCGTGCGTGCGTGCGTGCGTGCGTGCGTGCGTGCGTGCGTGCGTGCGTGCGTGCGTGCGTGCGTGCGTGCGTGCGTGCGTGCGTGCGTGCGTGCGTGCGTGCGTGCGTGCGTGCGTGCGTGCGTGCGTGCGTGCGTGCGTGCGTGCGTGCGTGCGTGCGTGCGTGCGTGCGTGCGTGCGTGCGTGCGTGCGTGCGTGCGTGCGTGCGTGCGTGCGTGTGTGTGTGTGTGTGTGTGTGTGTGTGTGTGTGTGTGTGTGTGTGTGTGTGTGTGTGTGTGTGTGTGTGTGTGTGTGTGTGTGTGTGTGTGTGTGTGTGCGTGTGTGCGTGTGTGTGTGTGTGTGTGTGTGTGTGTGTGTGTGTGTGTGTGTGTGTGTGTGTGTGTGTGTGTGTGTGTGTGTGTGTGTGTGTGTGTGTGTGTGTGTGTGTGTGTGTGTGTGTGTGTGTGTGTGTGTGTGTGTGTGTGTGTGTGTGTGTGTGTGTGTGTGTGTGTGTGTGTGTGTGTGTGTGTGTGTGTGTGTGTGTGTGTGTGTGTGTGTGTGTGTGTGTGTGTGTGTGTGTGTGTGTGTGTGTGTGTGTGTGTGTGTGTGTGTGTGTGTGTGTGTGTGTGTGTGTGTGTGTGTGTGTGTGTGTGTGTGTGTGTGTGTGTGTGTGTGTGTGTGTGTGTGTGTGTGTGTGTGTGTGTGTGTGTGTGTGTGTGTGTGTGTGTGTGTGTGTGTGTGTGTGTGTGTGTGTGTGTGTGTGTGTGTGTGTGTGTGTGTGTGTGTGTGTGTGTGTGTGTGTGTGTGTGTGTGTGTGTGTGTGTGTGTGGTGCCTATTTTGTAACGAGATTTTCCGTATCTTCGTATGTTACGGATTTTAACCAAATCGATATTTTAGATTTTAGTTCATGTTTGTTGATTTTGTATATATTTAACGACTTATTAACCTTATTGTATAAACGACAACTGATTGAATTATACTGACGTCCTGCGAAAGCTGTTCTACATAGAGGTACTGGACACACAGGGATATATAATAAAGTAATATAATAAAGTAACAAAATACATTATGAAATGTTAATTAAGTGACTTCCGTGAAATATCTATTCTGACTATGATCGACTGACTATATTTTCGCACATATGTGAGTTATGCGATTCCTAACGCATGCAACATGCAAGTATGGAGTGTAGGGATAAAAAGAACTGTAGCTAGAGGGTAAATTTTAAATAACTTTTTATAACTTTTAATTTATTTATTTATTTATTTATTTATTTATTTATTTATTATGACACATCAACAGCATAACTCACAATACATTTATATGCAAATCTTGCATATAACAAAGGGCCTGGTATGTACGCCAATAAAGACGTGTACAACATTCTCTTAAAATCTAAGATATGTTATTATAAATACGAATATTAGAAAACAAAAAAAAGCACAAAAATAGTACGCAGCTTATCAAAATAATTTTACAAAATTTTAAGAAATTTTAAGAACCTGCTTAGAGTGCAGGTACACAGATAACTTCTTTCTCAAACTAATGCGTGAGTCATGAAAACTGTCAATGTCAACAAATACACATACCCGGTTGTATTCGGCGCAAATTTTTGATATAGGTGAATTTTGTAAGAGGTTTGTTCTACTGGCAGGGATGTAAAGGATTTTAGTAATAGGATGGCGTGGATAGTTGAATGGGATGTTAAGATTAATGCACTGAAGTAGGTTGTTACAATCCACGGCACCAGAAATTATTTTTTTTAAAAACAATATATTCAACAATACACGACGGTTACAAAGTGACATCATTGCGAAATGTTTGAGACGAACGTTATAGGTGTTACGGTGGGAAATGCCCGAAGAATGGAACGCAAGATGTCTAGTAAATGAACGCTGTATGCTTTTAATGCGTTGGGAATAAGTGATAAACTGAGGACCCCAAACCACCGATGCAAACTCTAGGTGACTTTGAACCAAGGCGTTATATAAAATTATTTTGGTTTTGGCTGACATAAAACCTTTAGCATTTCGTTTTAGGAAGCCAAGCATTCTTCCAGCTTTTTGGACGGTAGCGTCAATGTGAGACTTAAAATTTAATTTGCTATCCACTATTACGCCTAAATCTCGAACTTCTTTAACCTGCTCCAAGGTATCAGAGTTCATCTTATAGGAGGACATGAAAGGTATAAACTTTCTTGAGAATTTAATATGATATGATTTTTTTAGTATTAAGTATCATACCATTTAATTGACACCATGTACTAATTCTGTTTAAATCACTTTGAATGATTTGCACGTCTACTGTAGATTTTACCGTTTTGTATATTTTTAAATCGTCAGCAAAAAGACAGAATTCAGAGTTGCGTATTTCAAAAGTTATATCATTGATAAAGGCAGCAAAAAGGACTGGATCCAGATGCGATCCTTGCGGAACGCCTGAGAACGCTATATAACTTTCTGATTTGTAACCATTCACTACAACAAACTGGAGTATTTTTGCTAAATAAGACTGGAACCATTCTAGCAAAGATCCACGTACCCCTTATATTTTTAGCTTGTTAATTAAGCGGGAGTGACAGACTTTATCGAATGCACTAGAAAAATCCATATATATAGCATCAACTTCCTGTCCTTTGTCAATTTCTTTACAGAGATACGACATAAATGATACAAGGTTAGTTTCAATCGAATGGCCCTTCCTAAACCCATGTTGATGGTCTGATATACATGTGCTTAAGTGACGCGTAATAATTGAACATATCAAGGATTCAAACAATTTAGGAATACATGAAATAATTGAAATCGGCCTGTAGTTACTAACGTCATTAATAACGCCTTTTTTAAATACCGGAACGATCTTTGCATTTTTCCAAATATCAGGAAATACTCCATCACGCAAAGATTGATTGAAAATAATAGCCAGTGGTAACGCTAAGGCCGAGATTCAACGTTTGACGAAAACAGGGGGAATCTCATCTGGGCCAGCTCCCTTGAAAATGTCAAGCTTTTTGACTGCACCTATAATGTCTCTTTCAGTTAATTTTACAGAATTTAAACATGAATTATTGAACATAGATACGTCACCGCCGTCGTTTGCAGCCACTTTACTAAAAACAGATGAAAATTTGTTTGCAAACATTTGGGCAATATCTGGTCCGGTGTTTGCGACCTGATCAGCATGATACATTATAGCTGGGATATTGGATACACCATTGCGCCTGTCCTTCACAAAACGCCAAAAGCTTTTTGGATTTTTAGAAATATCGCTTTCAATTCTTTTTTTAAAATTAAAAAGGCATTGACTGCTTACATTATGAGCACGTTCGCGAAGAAGCTCGTATTCTAGTTGATCACGAGGGTTCTTATATTTCAAATATTTTATTCTTTTTTTTGCTTTTCTCAGAAATTATTTTAATTAGGGAATTGCTAAACCCCGAAGGAAATTTAGTTAGTTTCGGTCTTGTTTTAGGAATATAGGATGTTACGGCTATATTTAAAAAGTGGTAAAATATATTAGTCATTGTTATTCCACTTGCCAGTTAATGCTCTTCAAGTAAGGTACAATATTGCCATAGTCTGCTCTAAAGTAGTTGTAACGATGGCTTATTATCGGCTTGAGGTACTCGAAAGCAAATTTTGGGATCGATATCAAAATTGGAGGATGTTTTTGATCTACATTGCTAAGCATACTTATAGATTTAGTAACATTTAAACAATCAACATTGGATAGAACTAGATCTAGTATTCTACCATCAACATTAGACACATCGTTCGTTTGCGATAAATTATTGACAGCCATAAAGTCAATAAGAGAGAGTCCTAGTTTCGAACCATAATTTTTTGCAATACATGGGTCACTATCCGACATACGGGATCAATAAAACCTAAGTTAAAGTCGCCCAATATTATGACTTTATCTGATATATCTATGATATCAGTAGAGTTTTCTAAAAAGCTAGATAAAGTTTCAGAAGAAACAGGAGGAGGTAGGTAAACGGCACAGATAGAAATTTTTTGGAGTGTGTGGTTAGTTTTAACATCAATAGATACCCATAAATCTTCTGCATTACTTTCCCAATTTGATTGTCGAGAAGAAGGAATATTTTTAGACACTGCAACCATCACACCTCCTCCGTCTTTCTTTGAACTCCTTGAGCATGATCTATCCTTTCTATATACAACGTAACGTTTATCTATAAATTCACTGTTCATTATATTACTATTCAACCATGTTTCAGTAAATACAATTAAGCTATAATTATTCATAAGTATATTTTTAAGAACATCCTCCGTTTTAGTCCTCAAACCTCGTACGTTTTGATAGTAAATTGTTACAGACATTTTGAAGGATAATCTATCGTAACATTGAGATTCTAACACTAGACAATTAGTTTCAAGCTTTCTTCATGTTTAATATAGATGGCATGACTCTGTTCATGTTTCCGAACAAAGATCCTACCGTCCCGCACCCAAACAAATTTGGCGCCGATCTCTTTTGCTTTTTTTTTCGAGCCGCCGCATGTAGGTGCTTATTTTTCGGTGTTAAATGTTCGCTAATATATACAGGCACTCGACGTCCACCAATTCCCAAATGCTCAGAGTTTAATTTGTTATCAGGATTCCTTTTACTTTGTTACTGCTGCTAACAACTCATCGCGACGGCGTTGACTACGTAGTTTGACAATTACGGAGCGGGGTCGGTCGCTCTCCTTGTTGAGCTTCGCAATACGGGATACGTGCAAAACATCATTGTCACCGAGGGGGGTTTTCAATCGCAAATCCCAGCTGCTCTATAGTTTTTAGAAGATTTTCTGATTTATGCTCTGAGATCCCATTGATTTCGACGTTAGGAGCACGCATGTTTTGCTGTATTTGCTCTATCCTCTCTGTCAAACTCCTTACCTGCGACGATAGATTGTCATTTTTCTGAATTAAACTCTGTATTACTTCGTTTCTTTCCTTCACAGTTTGCATAAGTTCGTCATTTGTTTACTAAAGAATGCTAGAGATTCGTGGAAGCCAGTCACCTGAGACGCGATATTTGCTAGGTGTTCAGAAACCAATTTCTTGATGGTGTCAGTTATCTCCTGCTTTATTATTGAACGTAACAAATCTTCTTTAATGTAGGAATCGTTGCTATCGGATATAGAGCGCTGTTTTTTTGTCCGTACAGTGATATTACTCTCCTCTTCAACATTGGTATCATCGCCAGATACCATGGGACGATATGTTGTGCGCACAGGTGTGATTGTATTATCGGATTTGGGTTGTTTACTAGAGCATTCCTGACATCTCCAATTATTTTTCCGCTCTTGATCCATAAGGTAGAAGCATTTAGGTGTTATATTAGCACAGAATAAATCGTACCCGAGATTACACGTGACACATACCATATGTTCCCTTTTTTGGCAAATTGTTTTTACAGCCAGAGCACTTCTTTGTGGTAGAAGAGATTTTTTAGAAAAAATATATCAGCAAACGGAAAATATTTTAAAAAGTCTGATATTAATGAAAAAAAAATAAAAAAAAATAAAGGGGAAAAAGCTTGTTCGGTCGGGATCGATCTTCCGACCTTCACTCTATGAGTAATGCGCTTGCACCGCTACACCACGCCTTCAACGACGATGCGCCTGAATTTTAAGAATGGTTCTAACTATGATCAAGCACTCCTTGCTACAAGCTTATCGCGTCTAGTGAGTCCAAAGGCCAATCTTTTGTACTCCATGCCGTGAATAGTTTTACCAACAGAATATTTTAAAACAATTTTTGGTTTTATTCACTTGTTTACACAATAATTAGCTATAACTTTTGCACAGATTCACCAACTTTAATACACTAAACACGGTGTTATAACTCAAAGAAAGATCTAAACAGTTTTTGCAAATTATTTAGATTAAAATCGCTCCGAATTACAATAACACGTCTATATCAACACACGCCCAATCGAAACTCGAACTTTAATATCACAGACTCACCGTAATTATTTTATTGTTTTTAAAATTTTTATTCTCAAAATCACTTTCAACGTGTTTCACGGCGACTTTTTCTAGGTTATATTTACTAAATTATTTAAGACAAAGTAAGTAGTAGAGGTTTTAAATACAGCAGTTTAATCAACTACTCTAGTCACCACAAATATTTAAATTTCTCAACTCAAGATGTGTCAAATTTCGCGGAGAATACTTCGAAAAGCAATAAATACATTTTTAAATAGTAATGTTGTGTCACTTCTTTGATTCCCGAAATTTTCAGTGCCGCCTTTCACGTACTTCCTCAATCAATGTTTTCGCATGAACTTTCTGCAGCTTATATCTTTCTTTCATCTTCTCTCTCATATGCTCATCGTTACTAGAGGCCAAGTAGTCTAACCATGCTTTTTCTTCTTTTTTACAGCTTCTCTCACTTCATCATTCCACCATGCATCTCTTTTTTTACTACTACCTCTTTTTGTCGTACCACATACTTCTTCCGCTGCACTTACCATTCCATCCCTAAGGTTCTGCCGTGTTATCTCCACACATTCTTTCCTGCCATCGGTGTCAAGCTTTTCGGCTACCCTCGTGTGATATTTGTCCCTAGTATCCGCTTCCTGAAGCTTCCAGCTTCGGATGCGACAATACCGACTGTGGTTCTGTTATTGCCGTCCGGTAGCGCCAACCCGCGAACAAACCCCTAAATCTAGTAATTACTAGATAATGATCCGTTCCCAGGTCAGCACCCCTGAACACTCGTGTATCCATCACCTGTTTTCGGAGTCGGTCATCCACCAGGATCAAATCAATCATACTTCTCTCATTCTTTCTTTCTCTAGTGTACATATGGATTTTCCTGTGATTAAACATAGTGTTTGTCACAAGAAGACCCTTTTCCTTGTATACAGCCAGTATGAGCTTGCCAGCATCATTAACCCTTTTATCGCCAAACTTTCCAAGCACTGACTCGTATCCTGGTCGAGCGATACCTACCCATCCATTCAAATCATCACTTACAACAGTTCTTTCGTTTCCCTTAACCAAATCTAGAACTTCTCTTACATTCTCCCAAAACTCCTCCAGCTCAGGCCTGGACGACGAAGCTACCGGCGCATAAACAGCCAAAAGGAATAACTTCGTCAGTCCCATTTTGAAGCGAACCCAGAGAAGTCTTGAGTTCACAATCTTGTATTCAGTCCTAAGATCGATCATCGCCGTTACTTGCGTTATGTTTGGGCAAACTTTTCAGGAAAGCATTAAATTTACAAGTCGGTGTTTCCCCCTAGCACCTGATAGAAGATCTTTCAAATGTTGAGGTGAAAGATCATCAAGATCACTGGCCAATCCATTACTAAAGGAACCGATCGCAGCCTGTACCTCCTCAGCAATGGCTTCCGGTATACGCTCAGAGCGGTCAGGAGCATCTGGTAACTTTAAGGAAGTCGATGGAAGTGAATGTTTAGCCCTCAGGAAAAACAAAGTCTCAGGTATCAGGGGCCACGGCATCACTCGAGAAAAAGAGGGGAGTTGCACCTCTCAAATCGCCATCGTTCAATTTTGATTCAGTTTTTTTTTTTAATTATATAGTAACTAATTTTATTTATAAATTCATTTTGTGTGTTACTACTGCCGTCCGAGTTTTCTGAGCAAAAGCAATTATCTTTTATTCTTTGTGTGAGAGAGATGCCATTGCTTTCGATATCCTTAGCAACGTTTAGTGAACGATATGAAAAAATAAGTAATTTTTTCCAACTTTCTGAATAATTTTTGTTTATTATGTCATTGATGCATGACGACAATAAGAGGGCTACAGTATTTCTTGCACCCCTTGGTATTCTTTTTTAAAACTGGACAAATGAACTTTAAATAGCTTAATTTTAAGGAAATGTTTTCCGATGGGTAATCTATTTGTGGGAGGCAATCCTGGACTTTTAATGACTTGTGGTTCTGATTTTATGCAAATTAATTACATTTAATCCTATACCTTTAATCCAGCATTCTTATATATATATATATATATATATATATATATATATATATATATATATATATATATATATATATATATATATATATATATATATATATATATATAATCGGAATCTCGGAAAAAGCTCCAACAATTTTCATAAAATTTAATGTCCAGGGAGTTTCGGGGGCAATATATCTAGCTAGGATTTATTTTTAGAAAATATCTTTTTTGTACGTGTTTTCAGGTAATAAAAAACTGCTACAATATAAGAAGGTAAATTTTGACTTTGTGTTAATAACCGTCATAGCTCAAGTGGATATCGAGCGGTCGCGAAATCGTAGTGCCTTGGTTCCCGTCCTGTCTTTGGTCCGATTTTTTTCCTTTTTTTTTTTCAAGTTCCGTTCTTTTGTGAGAAAATCTATTACTTCGAACCCTTTTTTTTAGTGTTTTTTAAAAATACGAAAATTTTAATTATGCTAATTGCACTCATGATTTTTTATTCAAATAACCAGTTCATTTTTTCTATTATGTCAATAAGATCACAAAATATTATTCAAGTTTCATCAGTATGTAATTTGTATCTAAATGTAATTTCAAAAAAAACCGAGTAAAGTTCGGTCATTCGGGTACTATATAGATAATATGTACAAAAATAACAAAAATGTAGTAAAGTAATAAAATCTATACTTACAGAACTAGAGCATAAAAAAAGAAATATTATATTTACATCACCAACACACTTATTTATATTCATATATGAACCCGGAATTGGAATAGATTTATGATTTAAAGAAAAAGGAAATGTCTTTAAAATACGTCACATAAATTCCCTTCGATCGGAAAGCGCAGGCGGGACCAATAAGCAGTACGTGTTACTAGGTTACCAACCAATAGGATTGTCGGCGATTGATTGTCGCCTTGCCAACAGCTGCTTTTCTCGATGACGGCTCTTTTGCGTAGTGATATCACTCAGAGTAATTACTAACATAGAAAGAGTCCTAAAATAGGAACAAAATTCTTATAGTTAAAGTTTTTATACATATGACGTTTAACATAGTACAAAATAAGATAGCTATATTATTCTCACCTTCTTTCTTTTACAAGGTAGTTGCCGTTTTTCTATTCCATAGACACTTCTATTGAAGTGCCATTAGCGAAACAAAAAACGTTGTCGATAAATTCATTTAGTCTATGATTTAGTAAAATTAAGGATTTTTATTTATGCTGTACGTAATACCTATTTATATTAAAGAAAGTTTATAGAAGCTTCATCTGACATATATAATTAAAAATAAAGCGTGAAAGTTCATTATGAAATCTACCTCTATTCAGCTGGCTTATTTCTGCCAAATAATCCCTAGACTAGTATGGGTTTTACAATGAATAATAACTGTGTTTGTGTAGGTCGACACTTAGCTTATTGGCGTACACAGAGGGCACTGTTACAACAGTTTTTTTATGGTATAAAATTGCCAAACGAGCACACAGTCCATCTGATGGTAAGTGAACGCTGTGACCCATAGATTTGATTGACATTTATCCTAGATTAAAAATAAAAAGCAAATGCATTGTCAAGGACTAAGATGTAATGCCTCGTTTCCATTAAAGAGTATTAACAGTTCTCTACACTCAACACAGCAGCCGCAAGCTGTTATTTTACGCTGGTATTCTGTGAGGACGTGGTCCTACCTTGGTGGAGCTAACCCATTCGTGCTACAACTAATATAGCTACAGCGTAACTTTATCACGTAAAGTAGTGTAGCGATATAACAGTGGCACGACAGCGGCCTGCCTTTTCTTTTGTCGCTAGATCACAACTACCAATAAATCAATTACAAACGTATTACCAGTTTCCTCTCTGCCCGTTCAAGATGTTATCCATCATACATTAATTAAATAGAGCCAATCAAAAGTCCACTACTGAATATTGGGGGAAAATTTTCCAATTGTTCCCTTTCTTAGCAAGTGGTGGCAACCGTTTTTATAAGAGAGGAATGACAAACGAGCACACAGTCCACCTGATAGTACGTAATTGTTGTGGCTCATAGACATCTACATCTATCCCGTCAGGATTAAGATGGAACTCCTTTCCAGTAAAAAGGGTCTCGTGTTCTCTACACTCACCGTACGAAACACATGCTATTTATGCTGCTATTTTACGCTGGTATTTTATGAGAGCATGGTAATTCCCCAATCGAGCCATAGAATATAGTTGAGTAATAATATATGTTATTAAGTAGAAGGTCGTGAATTATTTTTTGCTGCCATTATACAGCATTATCGAGATCCTGCCTTACCTTCATGATTTATAAATATTTTCATCCAAGCCCGCTTCGATGAAAATATTATAAAGCTTTTTTGAATATAATCGATGTTT